CAGCATATTGCCCCCAACAATCTGGGTCCTCATTTTACCCACCTCGGAAGGATGGAAGGCTGAGTCAACCCTGAACCGGTGAGATTTGAACAGCCAAACTGCAGCTAACAGTCAGCTGAAGTAGCCTGCAGTGCTGCATTCTAACCACTGCGCCACCTTGGCTCTTTCAACACTCCTTCGTGAATGGGACCCACAACACATCCTTCCTGCCAGTTCTGAGTTAAAGCAATATTTTGCGTTATGTTGTTGATTCAAGAGTAAAGATTGCATGATGAATTAGAAACTTAATGGTAATCCTAGATTTTACTTTCTAAATATAGATGTGTGAGAATCCTAGGTAAACAGGAGAATATCAGAGTCACACAACTGGCTCTGTTCCAGGGAGTGGCAAAGAAACATCGTGCTGCTGTTACCGTTGAGATGAAGGCATCTGACAATCCAGTTCTCCAGAACATCCAAGCAGATCCAACAATAATCTGTACTGCCTTTAAAAAGAACAGATTTTATGTGGTATGTTTTATTTTTTAATTTATTGCTTTATGTATTGCTGTAATTTCTAAGGAAAGCCAAGACTTAATAATAGAACTTATATTGTTATAGCTTATATTGTTGTAGAAATACAACAATGTAAGCACTGTTTTATACTCTCAAATCCATGTTCTTTTAAAGCAAAAATAACCGCATTTTATTAAAACTAAGATGTACTTAACTCAAAGTTTATTTCTGGTGACTGCATTCATGCACTTTTCTTGATGGTGATTATCTACATACTAGATGGTGGTGTTGGTGTTGGTGGGGTTGATGATGATGTTAATGATGTGCTATTAAGTCATTGTTGAAAGAGGGAGGGGACAGATCTGTCTCTGTTTTGATGCTTCAGCTCCTCCAATAGTGAACTCATTGCTACTATAACCAAGTTTGTTCACTTGCTGCCCGTTGTCCTCTTCTCTTTTCTTCTACCTTTCCAAACATTAGAACCTACCACAGAGATCTAGGTCTTCCCAAAACTGGACAGTTTTAGCTCTGTAAACTTTTAACATCAAGAACAAAACGGATTCCCCTGTCTTGTATTTCAGTTTACTAAACGTGAACCAGAAGATACCAAGAGTGCAGATTCTGATAGAGATGTCTTCAATGAGAAACCATCTAAAGAAGAAGTCATGGCAGCCACTCAGGCTGAAGGGCCCAAAAGAGTTTCTGATAGTGCCATTATTCACACAAGCATGGGAGATATTCATGTCAAACTGTTTCCTGTTGAGTACGTATATGAAGACTATTTTAATATACTCCTTTTGTTCCAACCGCACAGCTGCTATCTGGTGTGTCCTATTCATCTGAAAAAAAGATTCTCATTGAAAGCTGAGGAAGGTGTTCATTCTGTTTCTCCCCAAACAGGGCACATCTTCATTTGTACACTCTTTTCCCCCTTTGTAAGATAATCAGAATCAAACTTCAACTTTAAAAGAAGGGGAATTGTTCTTATTTTTGTTCTCATATATTGCAAACTACAGGCAAATCTTATAAACAAAAATGAAGAGGCAATGTTAATTAGCATTATGCACAGTTAAATTGATGGCTTCACAAGATGTAACAACAGACTGTGTAATAAAACATGCACACAAATGCATATCTGCCTGGGATGTAATGGGTTGTCCTTTCTCATTCCCTAAAGTGGGCTAACCACAATTCCTCCACCTCCACATTTCTGGAGACAGCTTGTTTGGGAAATGCAGTTACTAAATAACTGACAAATCTACTTTACTCCGTAGAAGGTGTGGTGGTGACATCTTCCTCTGCCTGCCTTCTTTTGTGCTTCTGTTTGACTGGGACTTAAAAGTTACAATCCTTTCAGAAGGAGACTGGTGATTCTATAAGAATGTATGTCTTTATTGTGTGGATCAAGGAACTAGATGGAAATGGGAAAGTGAAAGGAAGAATGGAAAAAATGAATGTAATAGTTACCTTCAGTTGCTCTTTTTTCATTCAGAAATATGCACCTGATGCATGCATGTGTGCAATCACACACTCCAACATACAC